GATAACAAAGTAACTGATTGAACAACATAGATCAGTACTCGTGATACTGACTTTCATGTGTCTGTTCTCTTCTTAGCTGCTGACGCATGTGCTAATAATCCGTGTGCCAATGGTGTATGCATATCATTCACTACATACTTTTCATGTTCCTGTTATGTTGGCTGGTCTGGAACTACTTGCAATCAAGGTAAGTGTTAGGTACAGTTAATATATTACCGCCTGATTCCTTTGGTAGTGAATGAGTTGTTTGATTGACTGTCTTGTGTACTCAGATGGTAACAATCACATACCAATTTTTAAGCTATCTTTGGTAGTAGATAAGCAGCCTTAACAATCAACATGCTCTGGAATAGCTTTTAAACAGCCACAAGCCTTCCTGTTTGGTAAGAATTAATATGTCAAACCTACCATAAGTATGATAAAGGCCCGAAAAATAGTTCAGAATCTCTGTATCTTTTTTGTATTAACCAGCCAAAACACCATGTATCTGGGAACTATTTTCAGGGTTATTGCCAATAAATTGAAAATGCCTATTATTTCAATAAAAATGTTAATAAAGTCTTTTTCAAATTGCAATATTTTTTTGTCAATTATATGCTTTCAATGACACAGTTTGTTTGCATGTTTGTTTACAGGAATATCAGTTGATGCATGTGCAAATGAACCTTGTCTTAATGGAGGTACATGTATAAATGAAGAAACCTATTATATTTGTTTATGTACTCCAGACTATTTAGGAGCGAACTGCGCAGACTTAGTGGGTAAGTTTTAAAACATAACCTGTCAGTGGTTCTACATAAGAATTACAGCACAACTGTTACTACTCATCTGATTCCTACTCATTTGATTCCTTTCTTGTGTTAACTGTTACTTCCATTGTATCGTATTTTTACCCAAGAAATTTAAATCATCATAAATTTTCCTGATTTCAAATTAATTTTTTAATCTCAATTAAATATTAAATGTTTAAATCAAATGTTGAATGCTTTGAGTGAGAATTTAAAAATATGTGTCTGCTTATTAGAGCTGTTGAACTGTTGCTGATAAAGTCATTATAGAAACACGAATCTATACTAATGACTCTAGAATACCCAACCCCAATGACTCTACAAATCCATGCATTGGCATTTTATACTAACATTCGGTAATGCTCTCATATGTCAACAGATAATAATCCAGAACGAAACAAGTGTGTTATAGACTATTGTCAGAATGATGCTATTTGCTTCAATACTTACCACAGTAATTTACAAACGCCCTCTGATGGAGCGTATTCATGTGCTTGTTATCCTGACTTCACGTCCCAGGCATTTGCTGGTGAAAACTGTGCAACAAATCTTGGTATGAACATTTAATATATTGCTTTATTATGTTACCTTAAGTGTTCATAGTATTTGAT